AGTCAACATTATTATCCCCCGCCACGAAGTGGAACGGAGATATAGGAATGGGTGCCGTCCGTCCTTCCGTACTTCCATCCTTCCGTCCATCTGTCCGTCACATTTTGTTTCCAGAGCAGATCTTGAAAACCATACCATATTTCTTCACCAAACTTGGCAAATAGATAGGTCTAGTGGTGAACTGGTGCCTTTTGATAGTTTGGGATTTAAAAAAAATATTCTTTTTGAGTTTCCGTGGCAACAACTTTGATTTAGACTGAAAATGACGGTAGTCCTCGTTTCCAGAGCAGATCTTGAAAACCGTATCATATTTCTTCACTAAACTTGGCACATAGATAGGTCTAGTGGTGAACTGGTGCCTTTTGATGGTTTGGGATTTAAAAAAAAGTTATTTTTCGAGTTTGCATTCGAGTTTCCTTCTGCATTGCTTGTGTGAATGTTCCTCCAAAAGTGTCATGGACACGGTTGTTGCATTCACTGACTAACTTCATGCAGAAACACAACTCATTACAAATACAATAGTGTAACTGATCTTAAACCTACTCAACTGTATAAACACTGCCTCCTATCCTGTATATATTCTTGTCAACCATACTCTGTACTTCACTTGCTTTATAAGGGCGTTAGAACCTACACCGAAACCATCGCTAATAATTGTAATAAAGAAGTTGTTCGTCCATATGTCTCATCCTTACTCATTACAAATACAGTTACATATTCTATCATAAACTGCAGATGGCAAAACAACACCAGTAATAACTTTTTTTAGTGCTGCAATTAGGCCATTTACAAAAATGCCCAGTGAACATAGTTCACAGGAGCTAATGCATTGAACACAACCGGACATGTCATTTTGGCGGGGGACATGAGTATTTCATGCTTGTTTTATAATTACAAGACTACTGAAGTTGTAAAGCTTCAAAGTGGAACTTTCTCTAACCTTCTTTCAAAACAATTCAAATTTCAAAACATCAGAAAATAATCAATGTACTTCACAGTCTGAATAGTTCAACTTCAGGTTCTTTTTAAAAAAAATTGAAATGTCAACACTGTGGGGACAGTGATGCCCTCTGGACACTGACAATGTCTTCTGTTTGTTGAGTCTAAATGGAGGTGGAGTCATGGGGGGAAGATGACCAACACATCAGTACATGCTCTGCCTACCTAACACAATCTTCGATGTACGTGTCAGAATTTGGAAAAAAATTAGAATATTAGTTGTTTATGTTTCATAGTGTAAAAAACATTTATCGAGTGTCATGCGCTTTAAAGAAACACATCGTACCCCTTCAGAGAATTTAGGTGAACGAATGGGTATTACAGACTAGGTCAATAATAATATGAAATTTCATATAAAACATCACCAGACACAATGATTTACCATTAATATTATATTTCCTGCACTCATAGGCATTGGTTTATATGCAGAGATTAAGATTACTGTGTGTATTTTCTTGTAAACTAACCCGGAAATAGCAATCGGCTGTACACATGTGTTCTCCCAATCTACCAGTTATTCAGTTAAAAAGTACCCAATGATACAATTTCAAAGAATTTTTATGAAATGGTCAGAAGAATTTGTATCAGAAATTACTGTTTTATCAGGAATAATATATACCAGTATTGTGTTACTTTAGTTGCAGCTTTGAATATATATATTTAAAATTATAAAAACCATAAGCACATGATAAGCGTAGCACTTTGGTTCAGGTGATTGCTATTGCAGGATATTTTTATGTATGGAACAATTTGACCAGTCATCGTTGGGACTTACCGCACTACATGTATTTCTTTTGTGAAAACGTTGTGTTGACATAAAATAGACAAATTGCCACAAATATGAATTTTAACGTGTCAAAATATGGCATTTATGATATGTGTATCCATTCTCTGGCAACTAAAGTTTGTTTCAAGGCGTCAATAACAGTAATCTGACAGTGGTTGCTGTAAAAAACGGTGAGTTGTACGATGTATCGATCACTTCACACACGATTAAAAGAAAAATTGATGTAAATATTAAACAAAATTTTGAATAAAATCATTTAAATTTATTACAAACATAAGTCCAGATATACAATGAACATGCTTTTATTATAACCAGATAATATAATAATGGGATTGAATTGCGTTCTTCAGTCCGAATTTGTTGACTGGTATTTCCTGTGTTTCTTGCTCACGGTGATCAGCTGATAATGTTTTTTTAGATGGGGAAGAACATGGTGTCTGTGTAAAACTTATGCTTATTAAAAATGTAAGTAAGATCTGGGAACCATATTACCGTGCGCTAATACCGAGTTAGCTCTTTATTGAAGAGGGCAATGGCGAGGGAACACGACTTAAGATTTGCATTCTGTATCATGGCGTATCAATAAATAGGCCCACGTGTATCATGTATCATATCGTGGGTCAAGTATCGCGATGCATTGGAATATTGGTGTATTGTTGTACCCTTAGTATTCAAAGGTATTATCAAACAATAGTTCTCTTTGTGAATAATTCTAAGAATACAACCTCTATTACATAAGGAGCAGTCACTCACCTCCACAAATTATCTGAAGCTAGGTGATGTTGGTTATTGGAAACAAGTGACATTATCCACACCAGCGCAATAGCACTTAGCGTGGCCTAAAAATTTATAATGGAGAACAATACTGTCATTGTACACTTAATGTAAGGAGCATGCATGTCATGTTCCAGTTCATTGATGTACACTTATGCCACACATATGTTATAGCATTTATTGATTCCAGCCTTGCATAGTGCTATAACAAGATGACAAATCATCCGTAGGGTGTGGGCATGAGGCATGATACAATCAAACTTTTAAACTTATGCTATCTCACAATTTGCATCCTTTGCATATCTTCAACTTCTTAGATCCTATATTTAACCGTGCTACAACCATGTTTCCAGCTTCTGAAACAAAAACATTCAACCGAACACACCCCAGCATCTCCATGGTTACAACCAACAACTGGGTCAATTCCGTGCTCCAGTGCACGTTAAGCTTGCGTGAGCTGACCACGTGTGTACCTCTGCCAATTCTTTCTGTTTCTCATCGCTTCTTTCGCATCGTTTTTTCATGTGGTGAAGTGTTTTGACAACTTTGAGGAGTTCTTTGTTTTTGTCTTTTGCCAAGTTTCAGTGAATTAACATTGCCTAAACTATGGCCAAAAAGGATAGACAATATCCGACATACTCTATGTCGGACCCTCACTCCTTGTGTTGTGATTGTCACGGTAGTTCTTGTTGGACTCCGTTGTTCAGAGTGTCATCCTATGCCAGACAGACCATCACCGACCAAGTGGTCTCTTCACCCAACACTGTTTCATTGGATTTGCCAACTTTATTGGCCCCAAGAAGTAAACCTCTTCGCCACCCGCTTCAAAGCTCAGCTATCCTGCTTCTAGCTTGGGATCATGATGTGTTGGCAATTTCCTGGGAGGGTCTCAAAGTCTACGCCTTTCCGCCAACAGGGATCCTTCTCCAAGTCCTGCAGAATTTAGCGGCCACCAGTCACCTGTCTCGCACCCTATTGGCCAACACGCAATTGGTTCCCAGTCTCACCCATGAACGATTCCATCCTCTTCCGCTCCGCATCAACCTACTCCTTCAGTCTCAACCTCAGTGGCTCCATCCGTCCCTAGCAACACTCCATCTCTGCGTCTTGCGCCAAGCCAGTAGCAAAGACCATCTCTGCAGCTCATCGTTCATCTACCACAAGCCTTTACGATCAAAAGTGGACAGCCTTCGAGACCTTTTGTCCTGTTCATGACATTTCAACTCTACCTCAGCTTCAACCACTCATAACCCATTTCTGGTGTCCCCCGCCGTGATATTGCTGGAATATTGCTAAAAGCGGCGTAAAACAATACTCACTCACTCACTCAACCACTCATAACATCCTGAACTATATTCTGCAACATCTGGTTTCCTGTGATTATGAGCCACTGGCAGAGAAGGACTTCGAGACACACTCAAAACCATGCCAGGTCCCTTTTGTAGGCTGGATTAGCTTGTCTAAAGAGACTTTTTTAGTCTTTACCTGCGAAGTCACCACTAGGCGCAGTCCTTCATAAACTAAGAACAGTGTCCTGAACCTTTATTCCGCTCACCCCTGCCTTGGGTATTGATGTAGGGTTTGGTTTGAAGGTCTTGGTTTGCTTCATGCACTTGAATGTGTTTGATTATCTTGATGAAGCGTTAAGAATTACCAAACCTAGCACACCCTATTGTCCTAGGGAGATATAGTGTTGTGTTTTGTTTGAAGATCGATGCCTGTTCAGGATGACATACGCGAAAAAGCATTCAACATTTATTCCCAATCTCATGCTGTTTCGTTTGAGCAAAACGTATCAGGATCATTGTTAACACCAGTTGATTGTGTGTTTTTTGCCGCTCACAAGTTCCTGTTTTTAAGACACTAAACAATTTGATCAACAATTCAAAATAAACACGGTCTAGATCCTGCTTCCTCGTGTATATCTCACGGTTGTAGTCTATGCAGGATAGGGTATCTACGGCCCACCATCCAACCGTGGGATCAATGCAAAGTGTGAGATAGGATATGTATAAAAATTTGGAAATTTTAGTTTAAATTATATATTTATATACTTAACCTATCTTACACATGATATGCCCACCCGATGATCCCCGTATCTCACTTTCTCTACCCTTCTCTGCAAAAGAGAATGGTTTGGCAGAGGTACCCACGTGGTCAGCTTGAGCAAGCTAACCATGCATGGGAGCACGTAATTGACCCAGTTGTTAGTCGAAACCATGGAGATGCTGGGGTGTGTTCGGATGAATGTTTTTGTTTTTGAAGCTGGAAACATGGTTCAAACTCGTTTCCACTTAGGATCGAAGAAGATGAAGATATGCAAAGGATGCAAACTGTGAGATAGGATAAGAATATATATATATACAATTTATACTAAAATTTCCAATACTTTATTGTCAGAAGATAAAGAGTTTTTCTGACTCCATACTGTTTGTTCCAGAATGCAATAGAGGCACTATGGAAGAACATTAGTGACCTCCTCCAACCCCAAGTAAACACAGAAAGTCGGCTTGTTGCTTTACACTTCCTGAAGTGTCTCCTGGAGGGACAGGTAAGTTGTAGTCTGGTCCTGAAGTGTCTCCTAGAGGGACAGGTAGTTATGGATTGGAGAAAACACGCTTACGAGGTTTTGGTAGACAGAGCATGCCCTGGGGAGAGGGAAAAACCAAGGGGGCGAAGGCCCTGCGTGCATGCTCTGTCTTCCAAAACCGAGGGAAAGTGTTTTTCCATACTTATAAACCGTATAAATTGATTAAATGTTATAACGAGCATCTATAAATGAGGCGCATCATTTGAGCGCTTCTTGAAGACGTGATATCATAACTTGCACGTGAAATTCGCTGACTTGCCAGGCGGTCAAGAGCACTTTGATGTGTCAACAACAAAACACAACTAAAATACTTACTTTTAAATGAAAGTGAAATCTTCGGTCTCTAAATGTTTGTGTTGCAATATTCCACTTCTTTTAAACTTTTCAAAACGAAAATTCGCAAATTTAAAAGGTGTCTTTTGCTTTACACATTTTACGACTTTAAACAATCCAACTGTTACATAGAGGTAGTTGTGACGTAACGGCTAGCAATTACTTCACATGCAAATTGTGCAGCATTGATAAGCACTTGTTTAAAAAGCACGTGTTTTGAAACCTCGCTGTCCTTTCACCAGAGACTCTGAAGTGGAAAGATGAGCGACGACGACTTTCATTTTGTTACCCAGTCTTCATTCACTGTACACATGACATTCAATTTTAATTGAATTAAAATTAAGAATTGCTACTTGTAGTCATTTTTTCAGTTACTTGGTTAAACCTGGGATTTGAGGTTTTACATTCAAAGTACAAAGTACAAAGAACAAAAATAAAACCTCATGATAGGTTTTACTTTGAAAGTAAAACCTCACAATAGGTTTTAATGCCTATAGAAAGAACTCTCTTACTTAATAGAGATCCCAATGAATAGGTTTATAAAGTGTCTTCTAGGGTGAGAGGTAAGCTGTAGTATATCCTGGAGGGACAGGTAAGTTGTAGTGTCTCCTGGAGTGAGAGGTAAGCTGTAGTGTATCCTGGAGGGACAGGTAAGTTATAGTGTATCCTGGAGGGACAGGTAAGTTATAGTGTCTCCTAGAGGGACAGGTAAGTCGTAGTGTCTCCTAGAGGGACAGGTAAGTCGTAGTGTATCCTAGAGGGACAGGTAAGTCGTAGTGTATCCTAGAGGGACAGGTTAGTTGTAGTGTCTCCTCGAGTGAGAGGTAAGCTGTAGTGTATCCTGGAGGGACAGGTAAGTTATAGTGTCTCCTAGAGGGACAGGTAAGTTGTAGTGTATCCTAGAGGGACAGGTAAGTTGTAGTGTCTCCTGGAGGGACAGGAAAGCTGTAGTGTATCCTGGAGGGACAGGTAAGTTGTAGTGTCTCCTGGAGTGAGAGGTAAGCTGTAGTGTATCCTGGAGGGACAGGTAAGTTATAGTGTCCCCTGGAGTGAGAGGTAAGCTGTAGTGTATCCTGGAGTGAGAGGTAAGTTGTAGTGTATCCTGGAGGGACAGGTAAGTTATAGTGTATCCTGGAGGGACAGGTAAGTTATAGTGTCTCCTGGAGTGAGAGGTAAGCTGTAGTGTATCCTGGAGGGACAGGTAAGCTGTAGTGTATCCTGGAGTGAGAGGTAAGCTGTAGTGTATCCTGGAGGGACAGGTAAGTTATAGTGTATCCTGGAGGGACAGGTAAGTTGTAGTGTCTCCTAGAGGGACAGGTAAGTCGTAGTGTCTCCTAGAGGGACAGGTAAGTCATAGTGTATCCTAGAGGGACAGGTAAGTTGTAGTGTCCCCTGGAGTGAGAGGTAAGCTGTAGTGTATCCTGGAGGGACAGGTAAGTTATAGTGTATCCTGGAGGGACAGGTAAGTTATAGTGTCTCCTAGAGGGACAGGTAAGTTGTAGTGTATCCTAGAGGGACAGGTAAGTTGTAGTGTCTCCTAGAGGGACAGGTAAGTTGTAGTGTATCCTAGAGGGACAGGTAAGTTGTAGTGTCTCCTAGAGGGACAGGTAAGTTATAGTGTCTCCTAGAGGGACAGGTAAGTTGTAGTGTCTCCTAGAGGGACAGGTAAGTTGTAGTGTCTCCTAGAGGGACAGGTAAGTTGTAGTGTCTCCTAGAGGGACAGGTAAGTTGTAGTGTCTCCTAGAGGGACAGGTAAGTTGTAGTGTCTCCTAGAGGGACAGGTAAGTTGTAGTGTATCCTAGAGGGACAGGTAAGTTGTAGTGTCTCCTAGAGGGACAGGTAAGTTGTAGTGTCTCCTAGAGGGACAGTTAGTCGTAGTGTCTCCTAGAGGGACAGGTAATTGTAGGCTGGTCCTGTAGTGTCTCTTAGAGGGACAGGTGGATGTAGGCTGGTCCTGTATAGTGTCTCCTATCCTCTTTTTTGTTGTTTAATATTTGCAGTCAAGCAGATCTGATCTGATATGTTTGATAAGATTAGTTCATGATACCACTGCATGAGTCTCTTCATGCAGGTGTTTTGCTGATTTTCTAAAATGTTACCTTCCAGCTACAGAATCTTGGCATCCTTAGAGGACATTTCTTTAAGGTCATCAAAGCCTTGACAGGTCCTGACGATCTCTCACACAGGTACAGTGTAAGACAGTATAGTAGGGCGGTTAAGGCTGGATTTTAGTCAAAATTGTGCACTTTGGGTTAAAAGCACCAAACTTGGCACACTTATACATTGAAACATTCCGAACATTTCTGGATATGGATCCATCTCAACAGCGCCACCTGGTGGTAGAAAATCCAAGATGGCCGCCAAAATGGTTAAAATCTCTTTTGACGTCATGTATATTCAATATATCATCATTATTTTGTCAATTTTAGTCATTTATATAAAATCCAAGATGGCCGCCAAAATGACTTAATTTTCAAAAAATGTCAAATGTTTGTCTGCAATACCAGTATCATTTGCTCATTTCAATCATTTCAATCAAATCTGGCTTTAAAACAATTCCAAGTGATGTTTTACTGAATGTATAAGCTTTTGGTACTAAAATTCATTCATTTGAAGCAATATCTGTATTCAGTAAGGCAGATCTGGGGAATATATTAGACTGCATGAACATGGTTAAAATTCTGTAACTGAACTTGGAATGTGATAAAGATATTGGACCAGCACTGAAATATGCCTTTTTGATTCTGAATCATTGAGGCTAACTAAACTAGCAACACTTATCCGCTGACGTGATTCAAGGTTGAAACAAACTTTCAGAGGAACATTTCCTTCTGACTGCCATAAACAGTATGTACCTGCCTCTTTGAAAGCTCTAGTTAGTATGAAATCTGTAGGACCAGGTATGATAAAAACAATCTTCAAGCATTCCAAACTACAGTAAACTACGGTAATAACGAACTCAAAGGGACCACCAAATTTAGTTCGTTGTAACCGTAGTTCGTTATAAACATATATACACCGTATATACAGCGAATGACTTGGACCAATAAAACCAGTTAGTTATATCAGCCAGTTCATTATAAGAGTGTTCCTAATAAACATAGTTTACTGTATCTCAGAACATCTTGTCTTCAAAGTGTGAAATCTCGGTACACCAGCTCATCAACACAAAGACACAACTGAGACCGAGAAATACAAGTCCCAGTTTACTTGGTATCAAACAAGAAAACGTGATCTTGTTGACACATTTCAAAATATGGTGTATTTGAACAGATATAGCACAGTTTGTGGTGTTTATGAAGATGAAGGTGTGGTATACCCACCAACATTCTCAAAAGATAACATCTATCATAATCCCTGTTCTACAACAGCAACATATCCACTTCATGGTACCAACATTTCACTATTGCAGCAGCGTTCATAGCTGAAGAGGGGGCACGGGTGGCCCAGTCGTCTAAGGCGCCGCGATTCGCTGTGCAGAGTTGCATCCCTTGGGCACGCCAGAAACCTATGATCGTGGGTTCGAATCCCGGTTCGCCCCGATTATGTTTCTAGGTTTGTCAGCACCATACCCGTGCTCGTGGGTTTCACCAAAGTGGTAAACGTCTGAGACCTGCATCACTTCGGGCTTTCCTCCCACATTAAGCTGACACGCCGCGATATAACTGGAATACTGTTAAAAAGCGGCGTTAAACCCAACTCACTCACTCACTCATAGCTGAAGAGGAAGGAACATCACATGTTGTTCTTTTGGCTGAAGAAAGCACAAAAAACAAGGAAAACCATTTCCAAACAGCCCATAGTATATACTAATGTACCCCCATCCTGTTTTAGCAAGATGGGTAATGATATGCTTCAATTGAAAGGACCTTTCACCCAGGATGTAGATAGTGTTAACACAATGCCTGACCATGAGTAAAACTGGTTATATCGCATGAAGGAAGTACTGGGAAAACAAGACAAACATAGCCTCCAAAACCAATTGCGCAAATGCCAATGTTCTAGAATGTGCACACTCTGTTGCTATGATACAGCATTCAATTAACATGATTAATGTGGTAAAAAGGGTATTGAGCATTTGAATCCTGATCAGATGCATGTGCTTGCCTTGGATGAACCACTATACACACTTGCTAAAACAATCCAGTGGAACTGTCCTGAATTATATGATGAACTTCCTTATCATGTTTGGTAGATTTGCTTATTGAAATAGTTGCTTACAGGATTCTCAGAAACTGTCCCGAAGGAAGTAGATGGAAAACTGCAATCTGTGCTGCTGGAATTGCCTCAGGCAGATTTGCTGATTCCTTCATCATGTGTACCCACCTTACCAACATCAGACATATGTGCGATATAAGGAAACAGAAGCGAACACAGAAGATCCTTTCAGAAACTGGTGTGCACTGAAGTAAGCTGCTCAGCCCGTTTCACTACTGGCCCCTTGTTCTTGAACAAGAACTTTGCATATTGTGCCCGGTGGGTGCAATTCAAAAAGCAGATTTCCCAGATTTTTGCAGCATCGCTGTTATATTAATGGCTTGCATTTCACAGATATGTCCCACTTACAGTAGAGCACGAGCACCGCTGTACCTCGAATATTTTTCCGGTGGATTCGTGACACACAAGACTAAACGGACATTCTCTTGTGTGTCACAAGGTCAGACACATGAACAATTCAATAGCCGTATGAAAGAAGATGGAGGTGCAGTGGATTGACTGAAACAGCCGAGAGTTTTCTTCTAGGGGCCCACAGAATTCAAAGACATTGTCACTATTTCAAGCCTTCACCGGTTCATATGCTTGGGATACGTGTCAAATATTTCCTGAAGTCATCAATGCTTTCCCATCATCAGCTGATATCTCTGACAACACAATGCAGATTCTTGAGCGGTTTGTCGTTCTCACTGGTTTATTTGAAAGGTCAATGAAAGGCAAAATCTCTGTTCATGAAGATCTCAGACAATTGACATTTCAACCCAAAGAAGCAGCTCTGAGAAAGCACCAATGCATATATGGGGACAGGTGCTTGACAAATGTCCCACACTACAGAATCTTGTAGTTAGGGGTTAGGAGAGGACATGCAGTAATATATAGATACCCAAATGGACAACACTTGGTCAGGCACAAAGAAGTGTTATAAACTAACACTACACCTGTAAGAAATATTGCAAGCCTTTGTAAACTTCACACGGCCTGTTTTGAGTACAGTGCTATGTGATACTTTGAAGGAAAGTGTTCTCTGTAAGTGAATTATTGAACCGTAAACACATACATTGAACTGATATTCCTGGTCCTACTTAAGTAGGAAGTAAGTTAATGTCAAAGGTTCATGGCAAAAATGTCACTAATACTTTTACATACATTCCTGTTTTTAAGATATGAATCCATTCCCAGATGAGTGGTTTTGGGGTGATCTGATGTAAACTAGGTGGAACATTTCTCAGTTGACAATTTATAAAATAATATGTTGAGAATAGATCATAGACAATGCATATTAATTGATACAATGTCACTTCAAAATGTTTCATCAAATCAAAACTTATCAACTTATCCTTAGTCCAAAGATATCAAATGATATCTATATCAGCTGTAGAAATAGACAATTTCTGAAAACTAAAACATATTGGAGGCAATCTGGGATATTTGTCATCACCAGGGGGCGCTGCATACCAGATATGAATTATATAAAGACTTGGTGCAATTGATCCTGAAAAGGTATTGTGATAAATTGAATGAATTGACCAGATAATTATGATAAATGAGTATAGACTAAAGTCATTAGAGATTTCAACCATGTCGACGGCCATCTTGGACTGTCATCACCATCAGGGGGTGCTGCATACTAGGTTTGAATTATATACAGGATTGTTGTGATAACTCCTAAATACATTACAATGATAATTTGTATGAATTGGCCAGATAACTATGATGTGTTGAGTATTGATTGATATCATTAGAGATTTCAGCCATGTTGGCGGCCTTCTTGGAATTTCTACCACCAGGGGGCGCTGCAAACTATATTTGAATTATATACAGCTCTGCTGCAATTCATACCGCATGCATTAGTGTGGATATATGTATAAATGGATCAAATAAGTATGATATATTGAGTATATATTGATACCATTAGAGAGTTCAGCCATGTTGGTGGCCATCTTGGATTTTCTATCACCAGGGGCCTCTGCTGAGGTGGATCCATATCCAAAAATCTTTGGAATGGTTCAATGTATAAGTGTGCCAAGTTTGGTGCTTTTAACCCAAAGTGCACAATTTTAGCCTTAACCGCCCCACTAGTAGTGTACAAATTTAGAAGTAAGTTACAAAATCACTGAGGAACAGTTAGGAAATAACAAAACAATAGAATCATTGTCACATAAGGCATCCCTACCATACAGAGAGGGATTACTTTCATTTGAAAAAGATTTTCTCCTCCTTTCTTATGTATGTGTGTATCCTACAAACAACACACAGAATTTCTGCTCAGATAAATACCCCGGGAATTAAATATACAATGCGGATCGATGTTTGATTGTCACACAGTTTAAAGAAATCTTTTTGTCAGTTCAATCTGGTAAATATGTCAGTTCAGTCTGGTGAATACATCAGATCAGTCAGGTGAATATGTCTTTTTGTCTGGGGAATGTGTCAGTTATAGGGGCACTAATCTCTGGCTTCTTTCCAGCTATCTGACACTGCCCACTGCTGTGTGTCGATTTGTTTGCTAACACAACTTTGCATGACAAGCTTTGAGGCAATATCTATACACATTTCTGAAGACACTCTCTTAAGATTTTGAAGTAACAAAGGGCGCATATTAATTCATTTCTTTAACCAAAACAAGAAGACAAAAAGAACGGTGGAAGCTCATCGGATGTTTTTATTTAGAAATACCCTGGATGGTTACAGTTTAATAAATAAAAGTATCCCTGCAGTGAAAGCATTTACGATTTTGGATTGCATGGATAATACGATTACTGCAGTTAATCACTTAATTACAGGTGTAATAAATGGTAGCAACACTCAGATTATCTGACAAAGGTTCCCATTTGGCATTTCTTGTCAGGGGTACTTATTCAGTCTAAATCCAGGTCTGAAATTGGGAAATATATGTTATGTAATATGTATGTGTCAGCGCAGCTAGAGAGGAATGATCAGTTGAATTACAAAAAAGCATCCATCAAAGGATCATTGATTGATTAATCACTCTTATCATGCACAGTGGATTTGTCAAAAGTAGGTGTTTAGGTTACACACAACCAAATGTTTTCCCCATAGACTTCTATAGTAACATTATATCTTTTTAATAAATAATTAACCGTTTAACAGCTATTACCTGTACATGTGTGCACAGTTTGGCCTTAGAGCAGCAATAAAAACTAAAAAAATGCCTACCTCAGCCAGCTCCTTTTCCAAGTACAGGAAGTTAACACACCACCCCCAGTTTATCGCCAAATGTCACCTACTTGAAAATATCTGTGGTCACATTCAGCATAAGTCATCATGTTGAAAAAGACAGTACTAAATATAGAAAAAACACGTTTTAATAACTGGATGGATGTACATTTAAAAGACATAAAAATCTTACACAATATCATCTAATCACAGCCTGCAGATATCCCTCGATCTGCACTGAAGGCTCCCTACAATAACCACACTGTCACAACTGGTTCTGATTTGGTGTAGTAGAACCTGTATATGTGTTTTCTGGGATACCATCCGGGCATCCATGGGGAAAAAACAAAAACAAAGACAACAACCAGTCCCAGTGAATTGTCAGAGATCAGTGCCCCTTTAAGTGGTGAATATATCAATTTGGTGAATATGTCATTTCTGGTGGGTGAATTTGTTAGTTCAGTCAGATGAATGTCATTTTTGTCTGGTGAATACGTCAGTCCAGCCGATTGAATATGTCAGTTCAGTCTGGTGAATACGTCAGTCCAGCCGATTGAATATGTCAGTTCAGTCTGGTGAATATGTCATTTCTGGTTGGTGAATATGTAATTTTGTCTGGTGAATACGTCAGTTCAGTCAGAGGAATATGTCAGTTCAGTCTGGAGAATGTGTCAGTTTAATCTTTTGAATTTATGGTTTAAAGATATTTTTATTTCAAAAGAAATCTGGATCAGGCATCAAAGAAAACTAGCTTATGTAAATACATCTCAGTTCAGTTCAGTCTTGTGAATATGTGAGTTCAGTCAGTACAATGTGTCATATCAGTCTGTTGAATACTAGGAATTGAGAAAATTAATGTGAACATGAAATCAATTCAGAAAATGTGAGTGTCCCTTGCTCGCATTAATAAAGTGACATATTTTTGTCTGGACACATTGGAGTATATTGGCGTGTCAGATCCACTGTACGTGGGCAGACACAAAACATATATCGTGTATATTACAACGTAAGTGGAAACCATATAGTCCTTGGACATCTCTGGAATGTTAACGGTCTTGGTGTTAACATTTACTGAGGAGTTTTTATGGTTCAAAGCAGTACTACTTGCATTAATTTCATTACCCATTTTGAGACTGGTGTCGACACTTGCATTAATTTGGTGATGCATTATTTTTATAATTTACAGTATTTCAATTCATTCTGGTGAATATGTCAGTTCAGTCTGGTCCCTGTTTCAGTACATTCTGTTTAAACTAAATGTGTGGCAGATCATTTGAGCGCATATGTCAATTTGGTTTGATGTTTAAAGAAGTCAGTTATTGAAACTCTTTGTCTTGAAGTACCATCAATCTGCCTTATGTTTCTTTCATTCTCTAGGCTGGATCTCTTCAGGATTCTAAGTGAAAATGGCAAGAGCCTGCATGACTTTGAAGATGAAACGGGTAGGTTGGTCATTGGTTAATATTGTAACTGTAGTGTTTGCATATACAATGCACTTATAATATTGTAGCTGAATCTGACTCGAACAAAGATGCAATTTATGTTAATAGATTATATAGGTATGTACTAATTACATTAATATTTATGTATTTTGGTTCATTGTCGACTTTAGGAGGAATTATTTGCGAGTACAATTATTAGCAGGACGTGTTTTCCAAGATCACTTTTTATTTATATTTTTTACTTATCCTGCATTACTCCTTAATGCATATTACTGCTTGTTCTTGACAGAGAAAAGAGCTGTGTGAAGGTCTTTGCTTGAAGAAGTTGTTCCAACTAGCGGAGAGGCCAACGCTATCACGCAGCTCCCACATGACCAAAGGAGGTGACGTCACAGATCCACACATTACTCTTGTCACTTGCTGAGAGAAGACCTGTTTTTGATCTGTAGCATAAACCCTTATGTGTTTTGCTTCTTGAGTTAATGTTCATTGTGTTTGTGTTGTGCACACAGTTTGTATCTTGTGAAACATTGTATGTTTTAACATGTGCATAACTTTTGTACACATGCTGACATTTTCTTAAGAAAGAAAACAATAAATGGTAAGCCGAGGTGTCTTGTTGTTTCAAGTAGCCATCTTGAATATTTTACGTGGCCAGTTATTAACTGGCTTGCGTTCTATATTCTCCTTGCTTTGTACCCCACCATTGGCGTACCCTCGCAAGTATTTTGTCTTCGTTTTGTATGTTGTCTTCCGTTTGTTGTAATAAATGTTTTATAAACCCATTGTGATTTTACACTGCTTCATTGCAGATATCCTGCCCTCATGCTCAAAGTGCCAGCGTAAAATGTCAGCGTTGAATCCCCAACCCCTGTGCCTTAATTGTACATCTAAATGTCCCAAGGGTCATAGATGTACAGAATGTCTCCGCTTCCCCCCCCCACAGCTTTCAGACGGTACCTCCGTATGTCCAGGAAACAGAACGCAACAGGCCAGGAAAACACCGGCGCCAGATGTCTGACTTTTCCAAGTATTCGCCCACAACCAGATCGGCTATCTCGAATGACAACTCCCCGACCTTCATTACTACCATGATGTCGGGCCCCATGGTCTCAGTCTCTACCCAGAGCTCCCTGACGACCACAGCTGCGTCTATCTTAATGGTGCCTATCTAGTCCACCGGACAGACACATGGCACCCAACAGGCACCCAGACCCCTATGATGGACGCCCCTCTACTCCAGTACATCCAGTACTTGTGAGCCATGCAACAGACGCCAACGCCTATTGCCCCACTGCCTCATCGGACGCCTATACAGACGCCAGTGCCTTGTCGGACACCTATAGACGCGTTTACAAAAGCACCGTCTACAGCGTCGATAAAAGCGTCTATCCTAGTGTCTCTGGTTGCGCCTATCCTTCTGCCTCTCCTAAGTGTGCCTCTACAGAAGCACACCCGGGACAACCCGCGCAGACAGACGATTAGCCATTTCACGATATCCTTGTGACTAAGTGCTGTCATTCTACAGGCCTATGAGATCGTCGGATCCCCAGGGCCAACTACCTTACGGAGACCAGAGCGGTCGCTGGACACTTGATTGGCATCCGTACAACGGCGCTCCAACACGGACACTTGATTGGCTTCCATACAGCGGCGCTCCAACACTTCCGAAGATCCTGGAAGTGCCTAACCTCGTGGTGACGGTTCTGTGGAAATCTCCCGCCAATTCTCCTCGTCTATCAACGTTGGTTAAATGTTTCCTCGGAGAAAGCGAACATACCCTCAAAGATTTCCCTACCTACGGCGTCTGGTAGATATTATCTGCACCACAGTTGACGATCACAACCCCATGACTGATTCGGTATTCAACAGAATCGTCATATGCTTCCGGGTACCCAACACGGTCATCATTCACAACATCAGATCAATCGTCACTCTTATCATGGGGATCAACATGCCCCTACACCGGCAACGTCACAGTTCCTACTCAGAACTCGGACACACCACTGGCCTGACAACCACAGGGTTCACAGGGGATTGGCCGTGTGTGGAGCTTGAACTTGTCCGCTCAGCATACGGGGTTACAGTTTACTGCGCAGGGCGACATACATGTCACGTGTCAAGAACTACAACTGTAAACATCGTCCACCATAATCAGGTCAACTGACCTTATGGGATCCGTGTAGTGTATTTGTACAGACTGGCTTGCATGATCGCTTAGGCGTAACACTGCAACCACTTGACCAGATGCCTGTCACTGTACATCAATGACTCAATCCCAACTCTCGTCCTTCGCCTGAGACAAGACAGCTCTCAAGACCCTTGCTAGGATGTCACAGCCAGCCTTCGCTGAGGCGTCCCAGTCTGGCTCATACCAGCTGGTGGCAATCCCTAGAGAGCTTTTGCAGGGGCAAGCATCAAGACCCCACATCTGCATCTGCATCGCCTCAAGGCCGAGTTCATGCTCCATCTGCATCACAAGCATAAGCTCAAGGGCAGTACCATCATGACCTACCTTGTGGCACTCAACTCCGTCCTGGCAATTGCGGAAGATCGGTGCATGACGTAAATCCCAGAACTACAGGCTCTGCTCCGTTCATTCAGGCTGGAAGACCAAAAGGCGAAATCTCGTACACGAGCTTGGGGCTTGAATGTCATTCACACCTCGCTGAGAGACGTGCCCTTCGAGCCACTCGAAGCGACGTCATCCTAAAATCTGATGAAAACATGGTCTTCCTACTGGCGTCCGCCACAGCAGCCCATGTCAGTGATCTACATGCCTTTTACGTCACACGCGTCCGTTTTGAGCATGGAGCATCTTGGACTGTGCTGAGACTGCTTCGCCAAGAATCAATTCCCATGACAGCCAGATAGATCGTTCCTCATCCCTCCCCTATCTCCACTTGTGGGCACGGAAGATGAACTAGAGCTCCGTTTTTTTCCAGTTAGAGCGCTCTGTTGCTTTATCAGACGATTGAAGCTCTACTTGCCATCAGGGAGAGGTGTTCTGGCGATCAAACACATTCATCGCCAGTCACCATATGTGAGATGTCGCACTGGAGGTTGTGCAAGGCACGCACAGCTTTGGTCCGTTAGTAGTGGCCCAGCAGGTCACCACTACTACACGTCACTGACCACGCCTCCAAGTCCAGAGCTGGCCTTTTGTCCTCCCCTGGCGTAAGCCCTGGACTAGATGGTTCATGCCCCACTTGCATACGGCTTGGTACTCCAGTCTCGACCTAACCGAGAGTTATTGTCAGGCTGCACAGTACCAGGACACAACGCATACCTGACTCTTCCCTTCCATGTAATGGTCATCCAGGCAGACCATACAGTCGGGCTGAGGGAATCGGAGTTTCCCATACATGGAGTGGTCACCTTATGCCGACCACACAGCCGAAGACGGGCTGAGGGAATCGGAGTTTCCCATACATGGAGTGATCACCCGAAGCCGACCACACAGCCTAGGATTGGCTATAGAACAGAGTCTGGAAATAAAAGATGAAAGTTGACACCTGAAGGTATGCCCGCCTCCGGTTCTGTCCGATAAAGATGCATTCAGGAGTAATGCAGGATAAGTAAAAAATCTAGCAAAATCCTAGATATTTTTTATGTTTGTATACTTATCCTGCATTACTGCGTCTAAAGGGACCCACCCATCGCAGAGCTCCCTCCCCACGATACCTTCCGATGTTTCGGACTACAGAGTAATGTGAGGATCCGTGACGTCACTTCCTTTGGTCACGTGGGAGCTGTGTGACAGGGTTGGCCTCTCATCTAGTTGGAACAACTTCTTCAAGCAAAGACCTTCACACAGCTCTTTTCTCTGTCAAGAACAAGCAGTAATATGCATTAAGGAGTAATGCAGGATAAGAATACAAATATGAAAAATATCTAGGATTTTACTTGTTTTGTGTCTTCATAATATTGTACCAATAGAATGTAGTCGCCACAAGATATTTTCAAGGTAGTCATTTGGCTACGTCTGAATTTTAAACAGTAGACAAATTGAATATTAGGTCGCATTGGCGACCAATTTAGTAGCAACTTTGAGGCTTGTCCAGCAATATCCTGGCAGGGGACACCAGAAATGGGCTTCACACATTGTGCCCATGTGAGGAATTGAATGTGACGAACGAACACTTTATCCATTAAGCTATTTCATCCCATCCGCCTACTATGCACTCATTAAGCAATAACCACCCCACCTATGTATACTTAATCCCGTTTAACTGGCTTCCTCACCATGTGTTCTCTCCCCATCATGTTGTTCTCTCCCCATCATGTTGTTCTCTCCCCATCATGTTGTTCTCTCCCCATCATGTTGTTCTCTCCACATCATGTTGTTCTCTCCACATCATGTTGTTCTCTCCCCATCATGTTGTTATGGTATTATCCTTCTGTTATTATTATTTAACCTACTCATGTTAATCTCTCTCATATATGCAATTGTTGTTTCTGTTAATCCTCCACCTACCATATATATGCTGTACCATGTTCATTATTCAGCCTTGCTTGACAATGATATGAGGATCTATACTGAAACGTCACCATAACAGTAAAAAAAGAAGAAGTTGTTTTCCATAAATTGTGTCTACTTTGTCATGTGTATCTCCTTAACAATCCTGGCAAATCTTGTTGGCACATTGATAAAGTAAGATTGCCATTTTCACTCGATTGAGTTTTTTCTGCAGACTTTGTTTTATGCATGAAGTGGTTATCTCATTTGAATGCCTATGCATGATAATTGATGACAGTCTTGTGATACCAGTGTATGTCAGTGCTGACAGCAACTTATGTCACATGACCTATTGTCATTGTGATATATGTATAAGGGAAAGTCACGATGAACGTCATTCATAAGGCTTAATAAAATAAGAGAATTGCTTCTCAGGCAATTGTTTTTGAAAATATAGTGCGGGCGGTTGGTGTCTTTTTTTTGTCTTTTTTTCTTTTTTTGGTTTGTTCAAACCCTTTTGCATGTAGCTATCCTGTTATTTGGTAACTTAAGGTGAAATGGGGTTTAATGTCGCGGCCAAGATTGTTCCACTTCTATTGCTACATGCATGCACGTGTGTATGGTTGCTTGTTCTTGTCCGGACTGATGCAGATTTTATAGTGCTAGCCCTCTGAGATACCATGCCACAGTTTAACATGAATACCCCATTCAAACACAGTATACTGACTCCGAACCGACCAGTCCTTGTTTTAGCCCCATAATGCCACAGGCCAGGCAGGGTAACTACAAGTACCATCTTTTAACGTCTTTTGGTATGACGTGGCAGGAGATGGAACCTCGACCTTTCTCTCTCTAGGCGAATGCTCTACCATAATATCCCTGTTATGTGGATACTTACCTATGACAGTGATGACAGGTCACAAGTCACAGTGGCCTACTTTCAGCAAGTGGCATATGCTATGTTTTCATTATTACACTGAATTCAACTTTGGGGCATATTTTGTTAATAAGCCAGATAGCTCTTTGGACTGTTCTTGAAAATACTTGCAAATGATATTGAAGGTGAAAGTCATTCACAAGGTCATACACAAAGAAATATGTCATGTGTTCTGAACCAACCCCCATGTTTGCGTGGCATGTGAGCTTATGCCCATGTTTTCAAAGATAATGAATTTTTTAACTTATCCTGCATTAAGGAGCCTGCATTACTCCTTAACGCATTTACTGCTGTTTTTCTGACAGAGAGATGAACTGTGTAAGATCCAGCTGCTGAAGAAAAGTTGTTCCAACCAGTAGAGGCAGCACCCTCACACAGTCGGCGCGTGACCTGGAACTCATGACATCACACAAAACACATAACTGCTTTATCACCTCCACGGACGGACGTACTTTGTATCCCTTGTGGAAAATAAAGCTTATTGTTTCTATACTTTGCATGTTTCTGCATTCAGCGTATGCTGCTATATTGTTACCTGTTTATGGTCTGTTACCTTTGGGGTCTTCCCATTCGTAATTTGTAGTCACAGTAATTTACAGGCATATTGTTGTTCCTGCCATTTTTGCGATTCACCACGTGGCTTTCAGTACTTTCGTGTATTGCATTGTGAATTCTTTATTTTGTTTGGGTAATACACTACATATATTGAATTGGGCTCCATCCATACATCCGTCTGTGAGTCCATGCGTCAGTGCGTCCCAAAATCATTTCCGGAGCATAACTCAAAAACCGTTAAATATTTCTCTCTGAAACTTTGAATGCCTATCAGAATCATGCTGAACTGGTGCCTTTTGCTATTAAGGAATTTTAGAAATTTTTATTTTTTACATTTCCATGGCAACAAGTTGGACTTAGGTTCTATAAGGGTAGAGTTTGTTTCCGGAGCGTAACTCAAAAGCCATTCAATACTTTCTAACAAAACTTTGCATGTTTACCAGACACATACTGAACTGGTGCCTTTTGCTATTTAAGAATTTTAGACATTTTTTTTTTTTACATTTCCATGGCAACAAGTTGGACTTAGGTTCTATAAGGGTAGAGTTTGTTTCCGGAGCGTAACTCAAAAGCCATTCAATACTTTCTAACAAACTTTGCATGTTTACCAGACACATACTGAACTGGTGCCTTTTGCTATTTAAGAATTTTAGACACTTTTAATTTTTACGCTTCCATGGCAACAAGTTGGATTTAAGTTTTTAATATGGGGTGGGTTCACTTATGGAGTATAACAAATAAACTGTTAAATATTTCCTTGGCAAACATTGCATGTCTATATATAAAGCACATACTGAACTGGTGCCATTTGATATTAACTAGTTTTGGAATGTTTATTTTAGAATTTCCATTGCAGCTATTTTGACATGGGCTAAGAGAAATGTTGGGTCAGTTACCTGGTTTGGCACCATAACGTGTTAAAATGGGCGAGGGATATAGATGACTTCGTCGACTATACGCTTGTTTATTTTGTGTTGGCGTGTTTAAAAGCTTTAATTTGTGACTACCTTTTAGCATAATTGTTTGCTCTCATAAACTTAAATAAAATAAAGAGTTTTGAGTTACATTGTGCTTCCCGTTGTGGTTTTGCCACATCATTATGTTTTGGCTTAAATTCCAGACTTTATGTCTTGCCACACTTGCTGCTGCGGGAACAAATCTGATTGGGGCCCTCTCCTTCTGCGTTGATTGTACGACGCCCTGTACTTTCACAGCGCAATGCCTATATTGCGGTCCTTCGTCACTGTGCTCCTTCAACTCATACAAGTATCGAGGACACACCTCACTCAACTTGCTTGTCAACACAATGATATGGCTTACAACTCCCTTTTGCTGTCTTCTATGCCACACTTGCCGTGACCTTTATCGACAACATCGTTCCCTCCTCCGGTGACGCCCTGCTATCTACATCAACAAAAGCAGCACCACTAGCGCTCAAGAAAGGCGGCGCCGTCGGCACCTTGGTTTTTCTTCCAACAGCATCTAGGTATCTTAGCTTCGGTCCCTCAGGCACCTCCCATCCTCTACTCTACTTCATCATCACCGGACCTTGGCTTCCACTGCTCCAACGGCGGCGATGGCACTGGCACCTCCTTCGACTCTCATCAGTCTAGATCGTCACGATGGAGCGTCAAGGTGAAACCAGGTCTTTTTTTATCGTCGCCGCTCCTGTAGCTGCTCTCCTGTACATCGTCGGGATCGTGACTATCTTTCAACCTCTTCGGAGGAATCTTTTCAAACCAGTAGGTTTTGGTCTGATTCAACTTGCCAACTGGTTGTCAGGACTAAGTTTTGTTTTGCGACATTCTTCTTAACCCCGTAATTCAAAGCACCATGCTTTAGGAGAGATGACCTGCAGGTTCACTCCTTGGATGAAGCTGAAGGAGCTCACATGTTTGTTGAAGCTGTTTCTTCAAAGCCTCCTACGATCCGATGCTGATGCTGGGTTTCCCTGCTAAACATGGCTTCTGGTGGACAGTGTCTGTATCAGAACTTGCAGATTTTCACTGTTCACGCTCATTTAGCCTGTTTGACCCCATGGTCAAAGGCCACAGGTACCCACTTCTCGGGATAATCGTTGACTGGTCAGGACAAGGCGTCTCTCATATCACGGTGTTCATATTTGCTCTACACCGGCCTTGCCATTCGACGACGACATCCACTGTCTTCTTTGTTGACATCGCCAGCACCAACGCTCCTCTACCCTGCCTTAGAGCCAGCGTTCCTCAAAGAGGCTCTTCCACGACGGTCCCGTTTTTTCCATGGCACTCCCATTGGTCCCTCAATTTTTTGCAGAACTCATTCGGAATTGTCTGTGTGTGGACATTGCACCTCATTTCCATCTACAATGCGTTTTTCTCTGCTACTGCACAGGTTCATTTACATGTCACATGTCGAGTACTCCGACTGTAAACAATGCGACCCGAATTAGGTCTACTGACCTATTGGGAGCAGTGCAAAATATTTCTAGAGATTGGTTAGCATACTTAACACAACCACTCAACCAGACGCCTGTTGTTTTACATCCATGTGAAGTGGATGGAAACGGTAGTCCTCTGCTACCAATACGGCAGTTGCGAGGCACCACGTTTCATCGCCCCCTCGCTATATCAATGGTAGCCCTTATACGGCGTTCAAGGGATGGAAAAGATTGCCTTACTTTGTATGGTATGATCTTTTAGACAACGACATTTTTATATCTTCAGCCTTGGGTACCAGATACAGTGTCAATTTTCTTATTCTTCCCACGACTGTTCCATCAATCCCTGTTAACTACATGCCAAGTATCATGTTGCCTTCCTTCATCGTCATCTCAAAATAAGAACGTGAGCCCTTATACTACGCTCAAGGGATGGAAATGATCACATTACTTTGTGCAGTACAGTGCAACTTTCCAGAACCACAGTTTTCCAGATTTTCACCTAACCTTATGGACATTGCTTTGACTTCCAACTTACTGGTTAAGTCGATGCCTTGGCGATCGGTTGTGGAGCGGGTATATTTCGTCTACATGGGGTTTGGTATTGGTTCGCAGGTGAACACACTTTTCCACATATTGTCCCGACAGGACACAATCGGATACCCCTGTTGTAGACAACCTCATCTACCATGGCCTCCCATGGCATGTTTTGGCACATGCTCTGTCCAGGCCGGACATCTCACTGGTGCCGGATCAGTCAGATATGGCAGTCAACGCTCTCAGCGTTCCCAGGGGAGGTTTATCCGCATATGCATTTCCGCCTCTGGCAGTAATTTGTCCACAAGTAATTATCAATCAGTCTTTGGCCGTTCCGTTACAATATTATTTCCTTGTGGCTCCGGTCGGTCATCCTCCAAGCTTATAAAGCTGCTGGATTGAAACCCCAAGTCGATCATGGAAGGCCATTATTGGCAATCTGACAGCATCTTTGTCAGCCACTACCTCTGTGATGTAGCCCTTGGAAGATATCGGTGTTCACAGTTTTGATCCCCTGGTTGTAGCCCAACAGGTCACCAATCCCTAACACCATTGATTCTCTGATACCTTGAGCGGGCCCTGTCCCCCTCTCTGGTGTTAATCACCCAATACTAGAGGGCTCTACTGCATTCCGCATTTGCTTTTAGGTCAGTTCTAGTTTTTGGCTACCTGCATCAGTCTATTTCTGTCACCTATTCAGGTTTTCCTTTTTGCATTGACTCTCGTTTCCTGATGACAGGAATGTTTGTAGATGTTGACACCGACGATACCCTGATACCCGATACAAGGGTGTCGCCTCTTCTGTTTGGAACAACATCAGGCACAAACCCAAACTAAGTTGATCTGAAACATTGTGACTTTATTTCTCATATTGGTAGTATTATTTGTAGCACAATTATATACTTGCAGGTCCTTTCCTATTGAAGTGGATGTCGGAGGTGATATCAGCTGGTTACATCAGCAACTTCCTGTCTCTGCTTATCAACGTCATCAAATACAATGCAGCCTACTTGTATGAGGATGAAGTGGCCGGCCTTGTGCAGTAAGTCTCTAGTGGGTCATAACAGACATCAACACATCAGACCTTGTGCAGTAAGTCTCTAGTGGGTCATCACAGACATCAACACATCAGACCTTGTGCAGTAAGTCACTAGTGGGTCATCACAGACATCAACACATCAGACCTTGTGCAGTAAGTCTCTAGTGGGTCATCACAGACATCAACACATCAGACCTTGTGCAGTAAGTCTCTAGTGGGTCATAACAGACATCAACACATCAGACCTTGTGCAGTAAGTCACTAGTTGGTCATAACAGACATCAACACATCAGATCTTGTGCAGTCTCTAGTGGGTCATCACAGACATCAACACATCAGACCTTGTGCAGTAAGTCACTGGTGTGTCATATCAGACATCAGCACATCAGACCTTGTGAAGTAAGTCACTAGTGGGTCATCACAGACATCAACACATCAGACCTTGTGCAGTAAGTCACAAGTGGGTCATCACAGACATCAACACATTAGACCTTGTGCAGTAAGTCTCTAGTGGGTCATAACAGACATCAACACATTAGACCTTGTGCAGTAAGTTTCTAGTGGGTCATCACAGACATCAACACATCAGACCTTGTGCAGTAAGTCTCTAGTGGGTCATAACAGACATCAACACATCAGACCTTGTGCAGTAAGTCTCTAGTGGGTCATCACAGACATCAACACATCAGACCTTGTGCAGTAAGTCACTAGTGGGTCATCACAGACATCAACACATCAGACCTTGTGCAGTAAGTCTCTAGTGGGTCATAACAGACATCAACACATCAGACCTTGTGCAGTAAGTCACTAGTTGGTCATAACAAACATCAACACATCAGACCTTGTGCAGTCTCTAGTGGGTCATCACAGACATCAACACATCAGACCTTGTGCAGTAAGTCACTGGTGTGTCATATCAGACATCAGCACATCAGACCTTGTGAAGTAAGTCACTAGTGGATCATCACAGACATCAACACATCAGACCTTGTGCAGTAAGTCACAAGTGGGTCATCACAGACATCAACACATTAGACCTTGTGCAGTAAGTCTCTTGTGGGTCATAACAGACATCAACACATCAGACTTTGTGCAGTAAGTCTCTAGTGGGTCATCACAGACATCAACACATCAGACCTTGTGCAGTAAGTCACTAGTGGGTCATCACAGACATCAACACATCAGACCTTGTGCAGTAAGTCTCTAGTGGGTCATCACAGACATCAACACATCAGACCTTGTGAAGTAAGTCTCTAGTGGGTCATAACAGACATGAACACATCAGACCTTGTGCAGTAAGTCACTAGTTGGTCATAACAGACATCAACACATCACACCTTGTGCAGTCTCTAGTGGGTCATCACAGACATCAATACATCAGACCTTGTGCAGTAAGTCACTGGTGTGTCATATCAGACATCAGCACATCAGACCTTGTGCAGTAATTCACAAGTGGGTCATCACAGACATCAACACATTAGACCTTGTGCAGTAAGTCTCTAGTGGGTCATAACAAACATCAACACATCAGACCTTGTGCAGTAAGTTTCTAGTGGGTCATCACAGACATCAACACATCAGACCTTGTGCAGTAAGTCTCTAGTGGGTCATAACAGACATCAACACATCAGACCTTGTGCAGTAAGTCTCTAGTGGGTCATAACAGACATCAACACATCAGACCTTGTGCAGTATCTTAGTGGGTCATAACAAACATCAACACATCAGACCTTGTGCAGTAAGTTTCTAGTTGGTCATCACAGACATCAACACATTAGACCTTGTGCAGTAAGTCTCTAGTGGGTCATAACAAACATCAACACATCAGACCTTGTGCAGTAAGTTTCTAGTGGGTCATCACAGACATCAACACATCAGACCTTGTGCAGTAAGTCTCTAGTTGGTCATAACAGACATCAACACATCAGACCTTGTGCAGTAAGTCTCTAGTGGGTCATAACAGACATCAACACATCAGACCTTGTGCAGTAAGTCACTAGTTGGTCATAACAGACATCAACACATCAGACCTTGTGCAGTCTCTAGTGGGTCATCACAGACATCAACACATCAGACCTTGTGCAGTAAGTCTCTAGTGGGTCATAACAGACATGAACACATCAGACCTTGTGCATTAAGTCTCTAGTGGGTCATAACAGACATCAAGAGATCAGACATTGTGCAGTCTCTAGTGGTTCATCACAGACAGCAACACATTAGACCTTGTGCAGTAAGTTACTAGTGGGTCATAACAGACATCAACACATCAGACCTTGTACAGTAAGTCACAAGTGGGTCATCACAGGCATCAACACATCATACCTTGTGCAGTAAGTCTCTAGTGGGTCATAACAGACATCAACACATCAGACCTTGTGCAGTCTCTAGTGGGTCATCACAGACATCAACACATCAGACCTTGTGCAGTAAGTCTCTAGTGGGTCATAACAGACATCAACACATCAGACCTTGTGCAGTAAGTCACTAGTGGGTCATAACAGACATTAACACATCAGACCTTGTGCAGTAAGTCACAAGTGGCTCATAACAGACATCAACACATCAGACCTTGTGCAGTCTCTAGTGGGTCATCACAGACATCAACACATCAGACCTTGTGCAGTAAGTCTCTAGTTGGTCATAACAGACATCAACACATCAGACCTTGTGCAGTAAGTCACTAGTGGGTCATAACAGACATCAACACATCAGACCTTCTGCAGTCTCTAGTGGGTCATCACAGACATCAACACATCAGACCTTGTGCAGTATCTTAGTGGGTCATAACAAACATCAACACATCAGACCTTGTGCAGTAAGTTTCTAGTTGGTCATCACAAACATCAACACATTAGACCTTGTGCAGTAAGTCTCTAGTGGGTCATAACAAACATCAACACATCAGACCTTGTGCAGTAAGTCACAAGTGGGTCATAACAGACATCAACACATCAGACCTTGTGCAGTCTCTAGTGGGTCATCACAGACATCAACACATCAGACCTTGTGCAGTAAGTCTCTAGTGGGTCATAACAGACATCAACACATCAGACCTTGTGCAGTCTCTAGTGGGTCATCACAGACATCAACACATCAGACCTTGTGCAGTAAGTCTCTAGTGGGTCATAACAGACATCAACACATCAGACCTTGTGCAGTAAGTCACTAGTGGGTCATAACAGACATCAACACATCAGACCTTCTGCAGTCTCTAGTGGGTCATCACAGACATCAACACATCAGACCTTGTGCAGTATCTTAGTGGGTCATAACAAACATCAACACATCAGACCTTGTGCAGTAAGTTTCTAGTATGTCATCACAGACATCAACACATTAGACCTTGTGCAGTAAGTCTCTAGTGGGTCATAACAAACATCAACACATCAGACCTTGTGCAGTAAGTTTCTAGTGGGTCATCACAGACATCAACACATCAGACCTTGTGCAGTAAGTCTCTAGTGGGTCATAACAGACATCAACACATCAGATCTTGTGCAGTAAGTCTCTAGTGGGTCATAACAGACATCAACACATCAGACCTTGTGCAGTAAGTCACTAGTTGGTCATAACAGACATCAACACATCAGACCTTCTGCAGTCTCTAGTGGGTCATCACAGACATCAACACATCAGACCTTGTGCAGTAAGTCTCTAGTGGGTCATAACAGACATGAACACATCAGACCTTGTGCATTAAGTCTCTAGTGGGTCATCACAGACATCAAGAGATCAGACATTGTGCAGTCTCTAGTGGTTCATCACAGACAGCAACACATTAGACCTTGTGCAGTAAGTTACTAGTGGGTCATAACAGACATCAACACATCAGACCTTGTACAGTAAGTCACAAGTGGGTCATCACAGACATCAACACATCATACCTTGTGCAGTAAGTCTCTAGTGGGTCATAACAGACATCAACACATCAGACCTTGTGCAGTCCCTAGTGGGTCATCACAGACATCAACACATCAGACCTTGTGCAGTAAGTCTCTAGTTGGTCATAACAGACATCTACACATCAGACCTTGTGCAGTCTCTAGTGGGTCATCACAGACATCAACACATCAGACCTTGTGCAGTAAGTCTCTAGTGGGTCATAACAGACATGAACACATCAGACCTTGTGCAGTAAGTCACTAGTGGGTCATAACAGACATTAACACATCAGACCTTGTGCAGTAAGTCACAAGTGGGTCATAACAGACATCAACACATCAGACCTTGTGCAGTCTCTAGTGGGTCATCACAGACATCAACACATCAGACCTTGTGCAGTAAGCCTCTAGTTGGTCATAACAGACATCAACACATCAGACCTTGTGCAGTAAGTCACTAGTGGGTCATAACAGACATCAACACATCAGACCTTGTGCAGTCTCTAGTGGGTCATCACGGACATCAACACATCAGACCTTGTGCAGTATCTTAGTGGGTCATAACAAACATCAACACATCAGACCTTGTGCAGTAAGTTTCTAGTGGGTCATCACAGACATCAACACATCATACCTTGTGCAGTAAGTCTCTAGTGGGTCATAACATACATCAACACATCAGACCTTGTGCAGTAAGTCTCTAGTGGGTCATAACAGACATCAACACATCAGACCTTGTGCAGTAAGTCACTAGTTGGTCATAACAGACATCAACACATCAGACCTTGTGCAGTAAGTCACTAGTGGGTCATAACAGACATTAACACATCAGACCTTGTGCAGTAAGTCTCTAGTGGGTCATAACAGACATCAACACATCAGACCTTGTGCAGTCTCTAGTGGGTCATCACAGACATCAACACATCAGACCTTGTGCAGTAAGTCTCTAGTTGGTCATAACAGACATCAACACATCAGATCTTGTGCAGTAAGTCACTAGTGGGTCATAACAGACATCAACACATCAGACCTTGTGCAGTAAGTCTCTAGTGGGTCATCACAGACATCAACACATCAGACCTTGTGAAGTAAGTCTCTAGTGGGTCATAACAGACATGAACA